TATCTTTCTTTTAGTTTTATGGAAACTGGTTTCAGCAATTCCCTAGGGATTATAAAAGCATTACAATCATTGGACAGCGCATCTTTAATCCAATTAATGCGGTCTCAAGGGAAAACACACGAGATGAGATGGAGATGACGGGTAGTGTACTTGAGCCCACGTTATTAGTTTTGTGATAGTAGTCTGCAAATGTCCCATTTTGATACCAGTCAATTGAGTTCGATTTGGATTGTGCTCAACTTTAAACTACTGACAGCCCTGTCCGGTGAATTCATATTTTGCTAAGTGTGACATATTACATCGGCTTACATATGGCGCCAAAACGACTGGTCTTTCATCTGAGCCTTCGAGAAGGTCAGCGGATGCCTTTTGACAGCTGTCAATTCATCTGACAGGCTAGTGTCAGTATTTGTGCGAGATCTAATGTGATGTTTGACATCGGCATACATGTATGGAGTGTACGGGCGGTCGGCGTTCAGGTTCGATTGTACGCTTTGTCATAACCAAATTTTCTTGCATACACGAAGTTTGTATTAGCTTTCAAATATCTCGCAAAGTTTTTCTAGGCCTTTCTGTCTCAACTATCCCCGCACAAAGAAAGTGCAGTCTTTCCTTAAAACTCTTTAAACGATACAATGATTTTGTTTCCTCCATGTGCGAACTGATAACGATGGCGGGAAGCAATTTCTTAAACGGATGCAAAACCTGTGAGGTAGGAAAGTGATGGAGCGAAAACCACACAAGCATTAATTAGTATTATAATATTCTTTAAAGAAATATCTAAAGCTATCTAAATAGGCATATTTTTAAGTGAAATATTGAAAAAAGAACGATGTTAACCGCTTCTGGAAGAATTGACAAATACCTTACCCGGGCGGAGATTTTCTGACAAATTTCCCACCGCCGGGACTGACAGGATGAAAAATGTCCCACATATGCCTAAGAGGAAGATGGGCACGCTTGGAATTGACTGAGCTGTGATATTTTAATTTGATATTTTTCATGGTCACATGGTTCGTACAATTGTAATAATCGTTTCAAAAGTCCTTGATTTCGGTTGAGGTCCTTAAAAGTACGTGATTTGAATAGGCCACTTGCACTAAGAAGTCACGTGACCAATGCTTCCTTTAATCAATGAGTTGGAATCTTGCTGATGCCAAAAATTGACAGAGCACATAGAAATTATCTTACACCCGAAATTTGAGAGGAAACGAATTTAAGGAGGGCATTGAAGGGCATACTCTTGCCCTCAAACATGGCGGCCAAAATTACTTTTTGATTATATCTTGTTCAACGTTTAATAGTTACGCTCAGATATGCTGTAAACGTTACCATATCATCTTTTCAACATTGTCCTTGAAGTTTAAGTGCAAAATTTGTGTTCAGAAGGAGGTAATTCATAATAATATTATATTTTAACAATCATATTTTGGTCACGTGACCAGCTACGAACTTACTTATTTTAAGAAAATGGTGCGGGTTTGAAAAACCAAATCACTATTATTTTGTTTAAGATATGCCCCACTAATCGTTTATCGAAGGCAAAATCATATAACTATCATTTTTATAAAACGATGTGACATGACCCCTTACTGCAAATGGCCTATTCTTTATAAGCCCTTGAAAAGTCCTTGAAATTCACTACCTTGTTTACACTACATATTTTCTGTGAAGTACGCTTATTTTGCCAAGGAAACTTTGGCTCATCCTCGGTCTAAGAACCTGTAAACCTCAAGGGTAACGTAAAAAGATTTTTGTGCGTAAACAATGTTATTTCTGTTCCTCAAATGCAACAGTAGTGCAAATCATACCCAGTGTCTGTTGCCATTAGCCAAAGAATTGTTATGGAGAGTACACGTAGCTGTAGTTTATAATAATGTGATCAACCATGAAGAAGTAAAAATTGTATTAAAATGACTTTATTAAGTTCTTTAGCGAATAAGGTGTTTAAAAGGGGTGAATTAGAGTGTTGATTTATTTCATAAATCTTAGTCCTTGAAAACCATGTTTTGTTCTTGAACAGTCCTTGAATTTTCTTGGTTGTATGAAGTTGTACGAACCATGGGTAAAAAAAAACCAATTTAACATGCTGTCAAAATTATCGGACCTTAAAGTTATAAGAAGGTAGAGTGAGTTCACTTGATTAAAATTAGCATGGACGAAAAATCGAGTAAATCTTACGTAAATCTTGCCATCTTAGAGTTCTGCAACCAGCTGGAGCTAGTAGAGTCAAGCTGTCGAAATCCAAAATAAGAGCTACAGACCGGTTTTTTAAACCACAATATCGGGAATAAGTAAAGAAAGCTGGTAAATTTTAAGCTCGGTTAAAGAATGAGAAATGACGTAACCAATATCTCACAAGCACGAGACAAAGAAAACCTCTGAGTCTCCGACGGGAATTGAACCTTCCGTACGCCGGTCGGATGCTTCAACCACTGAGCTACGAAGGACTCGTGGCGAGCTGGGCCATATGCAAGGTTCATGTATGTCATGAGTCCTGCATGCTGCAGGAAATATTAATATTTCGGGAGTTTTTAAATAATTCTTACCCAAACGCAAACTTTCGAGTTCTAGAATCTCGTGGTCTATGTTGAAGACCTGACCTCACGGATGTAGACACATGCGCAGTACATTCACACTAGCGCGAGTGACTTCCGGTCGGCGTTCGTGACCTCAAGAACGTCTGCTGCTTACGCTCTCTATTTGCTGCTGTCTGACTTAAGTAACTTTCAGAAAATTATTTGGGATAAGCCTTGCGTGGCGCAACTTAGTACGGCTGTTTCCTGGACCCGCGACCCGGGCCGTTTAAATTTTCACTTCTCTAACAATTCTCTTTATCTTTTGAATTCGCGACATCCTTTCAGAAAATTAAAGTCTGTGCAGTAGCTGGTCTGTGTCCTTTTAATTATATAAATGATTTTCCCAAGTCTCGATAAATATTTGTACCTTTGTAATGTTACTGTAATGTTTATTACCTTTTCCATTTTTGCTTTTAGTAGAAAATTTGTAACGAACTCACTATTGTTTTTGTAGAATGATTTTGATAAACTCTTGCTTACTTTTAACTTTCCTTGTTCTTACTATTTTAGAATCCTTTTTTTTATAGACTGAGCAAGTTAAAAGTAAATACAAGAAAATTGATGTATTTTTTCCTATTTGCTTTTGAGAATCTAGCCCGGCATTGTTTTAACTGGTAATTCACTCACTCAGTCTTTCTCGAAATTCACACATTCGATTGCATGAACTTTGTGTGGAATTCTTTGTCCCGCAGTGAATAATAACGTCTTTTGGCACTGTTTTACAGTCAAAGCTTCAGATAAGTCATTCAGCTGATTCAGAACAAGCATCTGGTGGCTTTTGTCACTAAAACCAATGGATCCGTGAACTCTATAGTCGCAAAACAAGAAAGCGTATTTCTCGTCAAACGAGCTCAAACGAGATTGAATTTGTTGCCTTCTAAAACCCTCCTTTTATATTCCTCGAGGGATTATCCCCTGCGTTTTACTGAAAAAAGGTTTCGCTGCTCTATGCACGGAAAACTAGCAGCTGTCTCATTTGTTTATAAAAAGTGTTGTGTTCGATAGTCAGTGGATAGTGAGGCCTTCGTTTAAATAATTGACAATTACTTTTTGCCTTTAATTATCGCAGGTTCGCAGGAGGTCAGGTGTTTGTATATATGTACCTTCAAATCTGTTACTGTTAAGTTTTAGTAACTGCATTTAAAAGTTTACAGTTATAAGACATGTAGACTCATTTTGACGGCTTACTTTATCATCTCAACGTCCTGTTATTTGCTGAGTGACACTCCAATTATTTAAAAACTCAAAGCTATGATATACATGTATTTTTTTACTTTGTTTCGTGTGTAGATAAGAAAGTGACTAACTGGACGGTTGGCAGATTGTTATTTTCATGCCTTTTAAGGTTAACAGAAAAACAGATATTAAACAGACTCGTTTAGCTGTTTTTGCTAGATATATGTGTAATTACTTGCACCTTGTGAGAATGAGGAAGACGACAATGTGGATCTGCATAAATTAACTTCTAAGTGAAGCGTTTTGTCTGTCGTATAGACTTTTTTCTTTGTAGTTAAGACTGCGGTAAATAATGCTTTGCGGTGACTTAACAGGTTTCTATGATTTTGTGAAGATAATACCTTTTTTAAAAAATATAGTCAAACTCAGATAAATGTTATCTCACCACTTATTGGCGTTGCATTTGAACGTAATTAATTTTCGAAGATCTACTTTAGCTTTTGGAAGTTATGATTTTCTAATTCATCGAATACAATCCAATACCTAGTATTACTATTTTCCCTTCGAAATGCCTCGCAGGTTCCCCGATTTTGCTGAGCGCTTAACGTTCATTTGAAAACAAAATTCATCATAAGAGTTAATTTTTTATTCAACTCAGCCACCCGGAGTTTCAAAAACCACAACTTATTACCATAATGTTCATGGATTATGGGCGGGTTCATGTCAAAGGAGTTTCTCCTTTAAATAGACTTTTCACTTATAGTTGTAGTTGTCAGCAACTTTTCGGAAAATGATGGAATTTTAAAAGAGAATGCCAGTGGCAGAGGAGCTGAATAGCGCAGATTGAACTTTTTAAATCCCCGAAATTTCCATTGCATTTCTCTCGCCATCAATGCGTGACGTCACTTGTCGTTAGAAATAACAACGCCATGCAAATAATAAAGCGTCCTCAAAAGGAAGACAGCTGGTTAAATTCAAACCGCATAAGACTTTCCTTTCGAAAATCTCCTCGTACATTGGGATTTTCCCATATTTAATTTGGTACGATTTTTTTTAAAGTTCACAGGATAAGTCGGCAGTGTTAGGCAAACAAAAAGAATTCGACCATTGGCTAAATCGAGGTTTGCTCTGCAGCGCGTTTGAGTTGTCCGGGTTGGGCGCGTTGCCTAGAAGCGAGTCCTAAACCAGAGATGAGTAAACTCGACGGCAACGTCGAAATCGTGAGCAGTAAATCGACACCGGAGAATGGAAACCGCCGTTCAGTTTTCAATTCCCCCAGGGCTTACTGATTTACTCGAGGAATTTGTCGTCAAGTGCATTCAAGAGAATCCAGCTGATTTAGTCGAGTTCGCCGCTGATTATTTTAACATGTTAAAATTAGGAAGGAAGAAGAAGGACAGCAAAGCCGCGAAAGAAGCATCAACGTCAAAGCCGGAGAAGAAAGAATGCATGGAAGAGATGGAAGAACCACAAGAACCACCGAAAATGCCTACTCGTGGAAGAAGGAGAGCCGTAGCAGCTGAGGCGTATAATCCAAACGAAAGCGACGCGAATGTGAAGCCTGTTGTTCACCCTAAAACAGAAGAACAATTACAGCGCCTGAAGAAATCGGTCGAGAATATATTACTGTTTAAGTCGTGCGATCGCGACCAATTGAAGGAAATTTTAAATGCGATGTTCGAGAGGAAAGTAAAACCCGAAGACGAGATAATTCGCCAGGGGGATGATGGAGATAATTTTTATGTCATTGATAATGGCGTCTTTGATGTTTTTATCGACAACAATGGGAAAGAAGTTAAAGTGCACACCTTTAAAGATTCGGGAAGCTTCGGCGAGTTGGCGCTCATGTACAACTGCCCTAGAAATGCAACTATCATTGCTAAATCTGAAGGGAGCATTTGGGCGCTCGACCAATCCACCTTTAGACGAATTGTCGTTGGAGCGGCCGCGCGGCGGCGACAAATGTATGAATCGCTTTTGGAGAATGTACCCATGCTGGCGCAATTACAGGCCTACGAGAGAATGAATTTGGCTGACGCTTTGGAGACGAAAATCTTTGAAGATGGTGAATGCATTATACGCGAGAAAGACGAGGCCGATTGTATGTATTTTATTGAAGACGGGACAGTTCGAGTTACCGTTTCAGACAAAGAAATCTCCAAGCTGACCAAGGGACAATACTTTGGCGAACTAGCTCTTGTTTTAAAACAGCCCCGTTCCGCTTCGATTTTCGCGTTTGGCGGCGAGGCAAAATGCGCTTGTTTGAACGTAGATGCATTTGAACGTCTCTTAGGTCCATGTATGGACATCATGAAGCGGAATGTTGGACATTATGAAGAACAACGGAAAAAGCTGGGACTGGATTCGTAGTTTATTTTGTCACTCTTGAAAGGAGGTTTAGGAAAACACCTGCTCATTGTGGCTAGTGGCATCATGAAAAAAAAAAAAAAAACTGAAGAAATATTGTGTTCAAACCGACCCAAGTGTTAATCTCTGGAAAAAAAAAACAATGTAGCAAACTTTTAATTGTGTCGAACAGTGTTCCCAATGTAAGTCAACTTTTTTTTCTTCTGGCCCAAATTTTGTGGAAGTAAAGAATTATTAATGATATTCTCCAAAACAGACCGCTCGCCAGAGGTTTGCTAATTACCTATGCAAGGTGCGTTGTATTTGAATTTTAATTACAATAACCGAGGCGTAAACATTACGAATTTCTTGCTGCGCTAAGCTTTGTTCTTCCTTTGGCATTGATTCGATGTTTTGCAAAGATCGGTTTACGTCTAGTGTGTATAGAAATTAAAATATTGCGATTTAAATTATTTTTGCAAAACTTGGGCTTGTCGTTCGTGCTGGGTTAGGAAATTGACACACTGTGAGGTGAAATAGAGCATTTTAACATACTTATCAGTTCAGAGAGGCGAAGATTATTTTAGTTTAGACGGCATCTGTCATGTTGCGATCATCTGTGCGCCAAGCGATGACCTTTAGGGCCGCATCTTGTTCAAAAGCAATCAGCACCTTTTCATAACTATGTCTGTCAAAAACAGATAATTCTCGAACCGGCGGCTTTGATACACGCATTTTTGTCACTATGTTTAAGTTAATTGTTAAAAAAAATCAGGAAAATAGAAGTTATCAACTATCAAGTTCGCTGGTGATCTCAACAACATGACAGTCCCCTTTGTGAGCGAAAATACTAAATATATTTTCACCCAGAGTTTATAGAAATAATTTCATTTACCATCAGAAAGGCGACTTATTTGACTGGCATTGAAGCTCTAAATTATGTATATTGTCATTAATGCAAGTGAACGGCGCTCAGCATTTATTGTTGTTTCCTCCTTACAACGCACATTAAAGCCATGGTTACCTTCAAACGATGTCTCGCTCTTGACTCCCAGTGTCTATGTTAATATATATATATATATATATATATATATATATATATATATATATATATATATATATATTTTTATTTTTTCTTTGATTCTAATTTTGCTGCACACACGGGAAAAGAGACGGTGACCTCAGTTTTATTTTTTCTCTAATATCGTAGGCGCGTTTATGGAGTGAACAATTTCCTATATATTTTTTATATTTAAGCTCTAAATTATGTATATTTTCATTAATGCAAGTGAACGGCGCTCCGCATTTTTTGTTGTTTCCTCCTTACACCGCACATTAGAGACATGGTTACCTTCAAACGATGTCTCTCTCTTTTCTCCCAGTGTCTATGTTTATATATATATATATATATATATATATATATATATATATATATATATTATTACTTGTTCTTTGATTCTAATTAGGCTGCACACACGGGAAAAGGGACGGTGACCTCAGTTTTATTATTTCCCTAATATCGTAGGCCAGTTTATGGAGTTAACAATTTCCGATGTAGTTCTTAAATTATTGAGAACATTGAGCAGGAAATATTTAATTTACATGTTTTCTTCTTGGGTCAAAGTATATTATTTTCTGATATTGAGATCTAAAGAAAGAAAAGGGACCACGAAAAAAAGTTTTTAATATGTCATTTAAAAGGTCATACCCCAGATTTCAAGCAGGAGGGCGTTTTTGCGGCAATCTCCAGGTAAGGTGATTTATCATACTTAATCGCTGTTTTGCCGGTTTTCAACGTGGCCACATTCCGAGCCATTTTCGTACAGTATTGGCCAGTCCTGTTATATAAGAGCTGTTTACTGTGAACATTGACCATGAGGTCTATAGACCAGACAAAAGAAGCATTTAACCCTTTAAGCCCTAAGAGTGATCAGCATCAAATTTCTCCTTGTAACATTAATACTTTGTAAAACAAAGTGGTCATGAGAATTACGGACATGATCACACAAGATGAATTTGATTGATATTTTATCAACTTCTCTCCACTACTTCTGCAGGAAATGAATTAGGGCAACAAATGAGAATTCAATTTTTGATCTTAGGGTTTAAAGGGTTAAGATGTATTTAAAACAATCCACTAGTGAATAGTTGTGATGGTCCATTGGAAGTTGTTTCCCGTGGTGACGACAAGTCAATTCGTTCAATTAAAAAAATATATGACAAAATAATATAAACAGCCCCAGGTTTTCATTGAAGTAGCCAGGGGCACCCAACGACAATTTTCGGAAAAATATCTTTTCGGAAGACGATTTGAGATCTAGAATTTTCGAAACATTTGTTGTAAAATTTTTTGCTTGCCTGCCTCTCCTAGGATTTTCGAACATCTAAAACCTACTATAGTTGCCCATTTTTAACAGATTTTTAGCCGTAAAAGGTCACCTAGAAGTTTCGGGAGCCTTTTTTCTGGCTGAAATTTTAGAAAAGGTAAGTTTTGATCCCTATAATTTTCGGATCACTAGACTTTCAGCTAGGAAATCCGAATAGATGAAAAAATTTTAGGGGATAAAAATATGCCTATATCTACCATTTAAATACTAAAATACGTTTAACAATGCTATGTTTAAGTGGTTTTGAACTATGTTCTCGTTGGGTGCCCCTGAGTAGCGTAAGGATCTAGAAAAAATAACAGAATATGACTGAGAAAAAGCTGCTTCATTTCACCCAAGGTTGATCGGGATAGTTAAGGACAGATCATATGTATTCTTGTGATATTTTTAGGCAGTTTTAGTTGTCATTGAAATTTCAACTGCCTGTTAGCTAGATGGCCCACTCAGGCTTATTGGGTTATTTTGTCACAAAACAAGGTTGACAGGGATATTTATAAAGCTTGTTAGTTTTTATCATTATTGTCTCAAAATAACTGTCTTCTTCTTCCTCTTTTTTGTACCTCGCAAGGGGTACTTTCTGAGAGGGGGGTAGAATACTTCCCTTGCATGATATGAAATTTCAGCACGTTTCCTAAAATGGATTTGACAATTCTGAGGCAAACTTTAGAAACTTTCTTTTGTCGAGAGCAATTTTAACTGCGTCTATGATGATACGTTGAAAATTGGTAAATTTATTTCCAGAAGGGTAATTTTCAGTGCATTTTTTTTTTCTATAAAGGGATGTTGAATTAGCAAACAAAAGCAATCCGAGACAACACAAACAAATCAAAGTGCCCTCTGCATACAGCCCGAGCTGCTAGCAGTAGAGTAGCCCTCCTAAAGCGTTGCCATCGATTATTGTCAACAAAAATGACAAAACAATGCCCGGATTGATTGATAATCTGTGTCACCATCTGCTGATATCGCACGGGGATGATATGAGTGAAAGAGAATGGCAATCAGTTCTTACACGATCCGAGCAAATAAAAGCCCACAAGTGTTTAATTACACCATTTGACACTCATTAATCTGATCTTAAAAAATTTGCATTTACCCTTAATGCGTCTTTTGAGGCTCTGGGCTTTAATAACCTGTGACGCTAAAAGCTTCTAACGCGGTGGTTAGTTTTAACTTCTAAGCTTGCGTTAGTTACTAATGGGCTCTTGAATTTAAATTTATCCGCACTGCCGGTTGAGGACCATGCATATTTTTCCTTAGTCAATTGTAAAATTTAAATATCACCATTGAAAGGAATTCCTTTCAAGAACATGGGTAGATCCATAATCTACGGAGGTCTTCAGGGATGAATGCAATTTTATTTTAAAATCTTCAAAGTCAGCGACTGAGGGGGTAGGGATATTAAATGCACCAATAGCCCGATTTTGTGTACTCAATCGTAGTTGATATTAAATATTCATGTCCGTCAGGTCAAATCGTGTTAAAGAAATAAAATAAAATCACCAATAAATTACTGTTTTTCCCTCTCACTTCCATCGTTCATTTGACCTTTCGGCAAACTGTACATCATAAGCGACAAAATAACAAAAAACAAACTTTATAACAAATACCTTTGAAAACCAACTGAATGAAATGAATTCACTTAAAAAATAATACAGAAACAAATATAAGAAACTATAGAAATCATCCAAAAAAACTGTAATATGAAAACAAACTATTAGGGAAATTTGGAGCTAAAATGAAAATTAATAAATGAAATAATAAACAAGAAGAAAAGTAGGCAGAATATGCCAGACCGTTTCAACCGAAATGGAACGATTGTTTCAAACCAAAAGGAAATAGCAAACAACCTTAATGAATATTTTGTGAATGTTGGTCCACGTTTGGCTAGGAAAATTTCAGAGCAATCTACAAACTATAAAGCATACTTAACTAATTCAGATAACAACTCAATATTTTTAGATCCAATAACGGAAAAGGAGGTCGAGGTTGAAATAAGCCAATTAAAGGAAAACAGGGCCACGGGATATGATGATTTAGCCCCAAAAGTTGTCAAAAAGATACCAAAATACATAGTTTAACCTCTGACATACAATCAACATTTCTCACTGGTGTAGTACCGAATGAGCTAAAACTGCATTGGTAACTCCTGTTTTTAAGGCAAATGAAAGGCACCAATTTAAGAACTATAGGCCAATATCTTTTCTCCCGTGTTTTAGCAAAATACTAGAAAAACTGGTGTGTAAAAGACTTGTGAGCTATTTAGACAGACATAACATACTCTCTGATAACCAGTATGGATTTCGCAAGAAAAGATCAACTAATTTAGCTACTACGCAGCTTTTAACAAGGATTCTGAAGTCAATAGCCCACTTGCACAATGACGTAATTTTACTACTACGACCAGAGTCCTTCAGGGTTTTGCTTTCTTGTGCAAATTAGGGCTTTTGTTATTTAATCCTCGCTGGGATTACCAAATTTAAATATGGAAGGAAAAACGAAAAGGATTCTGGTCGTAGTAGTAAAGTGACGCCATCGTGCAAATGGCCTATTGATAACAATGAATATACTGTTGGGGTGTTCTTAGATCTTGTAAAAGCATTTGATACTGTAGACCTTGAGATTCTATTAGGAATCAGGGGGACAGTGCTCGATTGGTTTAGAAGTTACTTAACTAATAGACAACAGATCTCAAGAGAGCTCAAGCATTCTATCTTTAATCTTATTCGCAGATGACACAATCTTATTTTATAGTGATAAAAATGTAAGCACTCTGGTTAATACTGTTAATCAGGCGCTGGAAAAAAATTGGTCAGGTTATGGCTATCGGCAAATAAGTTATCTTTGAACGAAACGGAAAATCGTTATATGGTTTTTAAATCGAAACGGAAAACACGACCTAAGGATATGTCAATTAAATTAAATGGATTGGATATTGAACAAGTTACTAAATATACAAAATTTTTTAGAGTTTTATATTGTTAATGGAATAACATGGAAATACTACATAAATCAAATGTCATCAAAAATAGCAAAAATGACTGGAATAATAGGTAAGGCTAGGTATTACATACCTCGCAAATGTCTACTGACTTTATATACCGTGGTATATCCTTACTTATCGTATTGTAATATTACCTGGACTTGCACGTATCCAACAAGACTTCAATCTATTTTTATAACGCAGAAAAAGTTGGTAAGAATTATGACATTTTCAAATTACAGGGAATCAAGCAAACACCTTTTTACTTCATCAGACATCAACAAATATTTTGTTGCTCTTTTCGTGTATTCATTCTTTAATGACAAATTACCTTCTATTTTTGAAAAAAATACATTTTAACAAATGATGTTATACATAGCCACAACACACGCGCAGCTTCAAAACTACATACTGACTATAAAAGAACAAATTATGGAAAATTTTCTACAACATACAGAGGAGCAGATATTTAGAATAATTCGCCAGAAAATCGAAAAACAAAGGATCCTACAGATTATTTAAAAATCCTCTAAAATCTTACATATATAATACATAGATTATAACGCGTACCAGGTAAACAATATAATTTAACAGAAAGAATTTAGCGCATATCTTTAGTAATTTGTTAACTAGTATTTGTAGGGTAGCCATCATAAAACTGAAAAGCCCTAGTGGCTTGCTAAGATCTCCTGCTCGTTAACAAATACTATGTAATCTGCAGAAAAAGTGTATGAAATGGGCAAATAAATGAAATAAAAGACTCTTTTAAATTTAGTATATATAAAAAATTCTATGGAACTGCGTTCGTGTATTTCTTTTAGAATATTTCCAAGTGTATTAATTGAAGAAAAGCCACGACAACTTCTGTGTATTGTAACTTCAGCATGGTCAAACCCTTTTTTGGATATCCAAAAGCAGCTAATCGGGACGGAATATTCATTGCAGAAGTCTAGTAAGGAGGCAAATTTTTTAAGACTTTTCCAGGCGTTTAGAAAGTGGGGATGCGCGAAGACAGCAATCTAACTGATTTTGCGGTACCTGCACGGAGAACAGAATGGCTGATAGATAGCAAGACCTTGCATTTGAAGTGAAGCGTATCTATGGAGTCTCTGATGGGACTGAGTATGATTCCAATATCATAATGGGTGCTCTTGGAACACTGATCTCGAGGTGAAGAAACTTATATATTCCAGACATAGTATATATTAGGTAATGTACAGTTCTCGGCCATATTCGGCTCATCTGTGAAGAAAAAAGTTGTGTGGTGAGAGATGAGCCTTAATTTAGACTACCCAGAAAATCATCAGGAACTGGCTTACTTCCATTGTTCTTAATTCACTTTATATCACTATTATATCACTGATATTTTTTGCATTTAGAAAACGTTTGCATACATTTCAGGGGCGGATCCAGAAATTTCAGAAATAGTGGTCTATGGTGCGTGCCAGCTTTATTTACTAACAAACTCTAAGAGCATCAATTTTATCCCGAAATAAAGGCTTTAGAGGACAGACCACAAGGGGTTGCTGCGGCCGCCGTTAAATTCGCCCATGCATCCGCGCTTTTTTTACCTGAAGACTGACCTATCAACGAACGAAAGGGCGATGAACTTTTTGGGCATCTCGGAACAGATTCGGCCATTCTACAATGTGAACTGACAGGCAAAAAATCAAATAACATTTTGCGTCATAATTAAGAAGTGAAGATTGGTAATAATAACTCTGTGTAAGCGAGGGGAAAGTCGAGATGCGATCTCTGATGATATCAGTCTAAAACGTATTATTGACAAAACACTAAATTTTATTAAAAATTACTGAGAAAAACGCCACTTAACGAATGTTAGTTTCCATTACACATTTACGGTTCATGCAGTGTCTATGCACGATTGACTCGCTATTTTAAAAAGTTTTCTCAACTGTTCTTGGAGGGAACGCTGTGTTTTTATGTTGCAGTAATTCTCAGCGTAATGTCGCATTCATCGGCTTGGCCTTCGTGTTACACGCCACACATATAATGCTTTCCCAGGGCCATTTGTGACTCAATTATTTATTTTCAACGGTGAGTAGTATGTCTAAATAATTCTCAATAATTGATACAGGAATTAAAGTTTTATTGACAGGGCAAACTGAAAATTAGTCTGGCAGTTTTACTGGAAGTTAGTCTTCAAAGGCAAAAAATTATCGCGCGTCATTCAAGTCTTCCATAATTTTGTCAAGTCGGCAAAGAATGGTGAAACAAGAATTGAGAAAAGAGTGAATCCTAATTCAGATTAAGTTGTCCCTCAGTATTTGTGAACTTACCCAGGATGGGTGAAATATCCGTTGCTATTTGCATTGTTCTCATCGTGTCATCTTCAGCCTTTACTTCAGAGGGGAAAATTCAAGACATCAAGATAGGTATGTTGGAAAGACTGCACTGCCATGTATATAGCAGTGGCAATTCTTTTCTTTCAGTCACCCAAACATCCTTTCATTTGTGGAAAAGAAAATTAAAATAGTAATGCTTAATTTCAGAATTTATCGTTATATTTTTTTGCAAAGCAATGTCCGCAGTTTTTCCTGTCTACCTTAATCAGAAACGTTTTTGGTAGTGACTGCAATTCAAGTGTGAGGCACCTCATATTTAATTAATGAACCATTTTGGTCTGCGTTGACTGGGGAAAGTGGTTTGCAAACGTGTGTGGTTACGTATTTATTTTTGCACAAAAATATAAAAAATAGATTTATGTAATAGACCGTATGAGAAAAAGGTGCTTCAAAATGATTGTAAAGGTTAATGCTAAAACCTTTTTTCTTAAAAATGATCTAGTTAAACAGAGTCTGAAGAAAACAGAACGAGTCAGGAGGAAAGTAATCATATTTTCTTTCGCACATGCGGTCTAGAGAATCCATCAAAAATTCCCGTCTTGACTGTCGTTCAGCAATTTTTTTGTTCTTTCATTTCCGGGGTAGTTTTAGTTAACGTTTTTCGCTCTACTAATGAATGCACAATGCTCGTAATATCATCTCTTGAAGTTCTCATTGAGATTTTTTTGTGGTATATTATATAACAGTTAAAATTTTAGCCATCAGCTAAAAAACTCTCTCCTCATCTGAAATTCAAAGGTTTAGTCAATTCTTCTCCTTTCTGTTGGTCGATCTGGCAAGTCACAGACATAAAAAAGGCTCAGAAACATTAAAAAGACAATTAAATAAATGCTATTTTTCTCTGTTAACAACATGCATCACAGTTGAATGTAAAGTATGGCACATTCAGTTTCTCAGGGGCGGATCCAGAATTTTTTTTAGGAGGGGGTGCACTCGTCTCTTGCTCTACTTCAACACCAATAAACCACATAGTTTTTTTCTGCAGAATACCAGTTGTATTAGAAAACCGCAGGTCATCTGGGGGGGGGGGGGGGGGGGGGGCGCACCCCCCCCCCCCCCCCCCGGGACCCCCCCCCGTTTCGCCACTTTCCTTTTTTTCCCCCCCTGACAACCCAACACAACCCCCCTTTTCCTTTTTCTGTTTATTCGGTAAAAAAAAATAATAAATAAAATTTTCCACATATATTTTGTGACATGCAAATTTTTGTGTCAAATAAAAAACACTCCAAATGGTGTGTTGAAGTATTGTGCAAGGGTTTTTTCCGGGGGGGGGCTCACATGTTTTTTTGGGGCGGGTGGTCCCTTCTTTTTTTTCTCCTCTAACCCAAAAAAACACCCAGTCTTTCTTCTGGGGGAACCCGTTTTTTTAATAACACCCCGCGGCCCCCGGGCGGGGGGGGGGTGTGCGCACCCCCTGCACCCTCCCCTGAGATCCGCCCCCGTTTCTGCAACTTTCCTTTGTTTACCAGCTGACAGACAGACAATACCCCTGCTTTTCCTTTTAAGTGTTATCGAGTAAGATAAATAATTAATCAAAATGTTCACGATAATTGTGGTCACGTACAGAAAGTGTTTAGCTCTTTTCACCTTTCATGTTCGTTGAATACCAGTGTATTCTAAAGTGCCTCGAATTTAACAATTTGACGCCCACAAAGAAAAAATCGTTGTGGTGTAGTGATTTGTTAAGCAGGGGCGTGTTTTCACCACTAGGGCGATGCCAAGAAAACATCATTTGAAAAACGGGATTCGGGATTTTTCTCGTTACTTTCAATTTTTTGTTACATTTTCTACCCTTGAGGGGCATAGGGTAAGAATAGGAAAGGGTTAGCACTTTCTTACACTTCACAGCCGAAAGGCCATGTTATAAACAGATCCAACATCATCCGACTTTATCCCGTACCAGGGAGATCAGATGAGACATACTGTCAAGCAAATATAATAGTCATATGAAAGGCTTATTTATAAGTTATCTGTGCATCCAGGACTGGTAAAGCATCCGCAAGTGATCATCAGTAGACAAATAGTAACGGAAGCTTGTTTCTTTGAAAATTGAACCATCCTGAGCATATGAGCATTTTATCTCACAGGTGCATTGTACAGTAATAAGACGGAGAGCCTCTTTCGCGTTCTAGAATACGTGATCAATTATCTTCTTCCAAAAAGACTACTACAGCCACAAAACTACAAGTTCACCTTAGGTTCTCATGTTATGGTTGATGGCCAAGATCTTCTCTCTAAAGGTAGGGTGGATTACTATTGCTATTTGAGGGATTGTTCAGGTTACGCTTACACAAAGTACATGTAGTGATAAAGTCCGTTATAGTGTTAAAGCCCGTTTATATTTATGTTTAATATTATGTTAGAATTAAAACGTTTTTATGCTATATCCTGTCATTAAATATTACTATTAGTAACCTGTATGAATAAAATTAAATATCTCTATATTTAGAAATACTACCGCTGCCAATGAAAAAATAAAAAACAATAGTACTATTCAGAATATCTGATAATCCAACTTCCAGTCTCTTCTGTGGTTGACTACGGATTCAGCAATTCTTTATTTTACATCGTAACGCCCCAAAGTTCAGGGTCTTTCTTATGATCTTCCTTGGCCGGTTTGAGATCCATCGGCGGATCATCTCAAGCGTATTGGCTTGCTTTGTATCGCATTCTTAGTCAGTCACTTCATAGCCCTGTTTTCTTGCAAGGCAGCAGGGATAACTGGACAGAACGGAGATTAACGAGGGTAGGAAACACAAAGAGCACGAGGAAATCCTTCGGAAGAAAACAAAAAAAACTATTCACAACGGGTTCTGATACTGTCCACCGTTGTCTCACGAGGACTTCTTTAATTTGCAGAGCTGTTATCCAACTTTTCAAAGGTGAAGTGTATTATCGATTTGGCATGTGAAGATGAAAAGGCCTTAGATGTGAGTACTGTGCTTCAAGTGCCGTTGATGAAGGTGGATTCATTGAAGGATAGTACCATTCACCCGTATGTTGTGTCTATCAGACCATCAAAACATCTTGTCAGCCAGGCTTTGTTTGACATCATGGATTTCTTTTCGTTTACGAGAATAGCGGTGGTGTATGACGGTACGTTTTTAGATTGCGACTTGTACTTCAGTTCGGTTTTGAAGTAATCAATGAAACTCGAGAGGAGTTTCGTATGATATTTAGACATCAAGAAGCAATCTCACATGAAACTCTTAAGTTCGAGTATTTATTGGTAAGCTTCCGATTCTCAAATAATGAACTGATCTTTACGAAATTTGAGGCTAAAGTTCGTAACGTTTAGTCCTTGTGAATTCTGCAAAAATTTCGAGGGGCTCAGTTTTACTGATTCAGTAATTCACTAGCTAGATAAAGCAGTATACGAGCTAGATAAAAAAAAAGGGAAAACTGGTATTATTGTTTGGACACTTGAAGGACCTCAAAATTTGTTGTTTCGTCCTTCCTTTATAAAACCAAATTAATGTCACCAGGAATAGATTTTATTTACTCTAGTTATGTAGCTTAAATTTTCTCTCTTTTTTAGTATCTAGAATGAGGGAAGCGTCTCATTTCTACGCCACAATGCGTCGATGGCCACGGTTTGATATTCACATAATACCTGAACTTGTACTAAACGACAGAAAAAAACTGCGTGAATCTTTGAAGCGAATACTTCATTCACATATTAGAGATATCGTCATATTTTGTGATCAAAGAGACTTGGCTCACATTATGAATGAGGTGCACAAACTTAATGTTTTTGGTGTTTTAATTGCAATTTCAGTTTTCATCGAGGCAATTTTGTTGTGTACTCTATGACAGTGCTTCTAGTTTCTATAGGTGCTTCCTAAAGGTGAAGGCTTCCTAAAGAAGTTGGATTTTATTGCCTAAAACGTGAAATCTTTCCGGTAACATGCCCTCAGTTGTACTCATTTTGGTTGGCTTTCTTAGGCTCTGTTTGTTGGAATAAATGACAAAGATTACCGATGGATTACACCTGATTTGGTAAGAAATACTAACGCTTCTAATGAGTTAACCAAATAGTTCTAGTGTTCATAGTCTGGCACCTTTTTTATCAAGGAATGCAGACAAGTCGTAGACAAAAAGAGTTGAACTAAATTTGCCTTTTTATGATTTTATGTCTGAATTCAAATTTGGCACTTGAACCCTGGGTAATCTTCACCCAGCTTTGAACAACTCGGCCCTGAATTTGATAGCAACTCGACTTCCATTACTCTTATTGGCAAATTTTATCACTTGTTTGCCCTCTGAAATACCAAGTGACATTGCTTTTATCCCATCGATCCTAGGGCGCGTGCAAAGATGGCAGGTATCGAGAATAAGGTCTATTGTCTATGAGAACTTTCAGATATACTCTCCCGCTGTTGTGTCATACAGTATCGCGCCTTTCTGTTTCTATTTCCCCTAGAATCAAATGTTACGTATCCTTGTCAATTTGTTTCACTGTTAGGAGGTTGCAGGTGCCAATCAGACATATCCCTCAATTCTTGGAATGGTTGGTCTTAGGCTTCATGTTGGTGATGAGCAACAGGCGAGAGTGTTACGAGTGGTGGCATTAAAAGGAACCTCACTCGAATACTCACTGGTGGGTTATCAAAGTATTCCGTCTTTTTTCTGTTGCACGGTGCCATAGTGTTCATTTGGCTGTGTGTAGGCCTAGCCGCAAAACTACGCGGCTATTTGTTGCATACCACGTCTGCAATCACTGATGGCTTTCTTTTTATCTTCTATCACTGATGATCAGCTAGAAGGCGAATGTGTCACAGAAAAAACAATGATACAGGGGTCAACTTTATAACACAGTTACAAGTGTAGCTGTTGTTTAGCTGGTTGAAAACAATAGACACGGTGAAAGTTACTCGACATGTAAAAGGCTTAAATTGACCACAGGTGCTTGTTTAGCTTTATCTACCA